TATTTCTTCCCGTTCACCACTAGTATTATCTCCATACCTCAATCATGACAACGATCCTACCAATTTACCCCTCCTGGCACAATGCCTCAAAACTTCCTCTTCTTCTTCACCGGCCTCACAACCTGCTTCTTCACAGGACTTTGCGCCTTCTCCTCCCTCTTCGCCGCCTCGCCGCCCTTCCTCCCTCCTTCATCATCCTCGTCGTCAGCCGATGCCTGCCGAGCCCGGCTCTTGCCGCCAATGACACCGATCCCCCCGATCCTGCCGATTCCCGCCTTCCTCGCAGGTGTCCGTGCCGGTGGTGACGACTCCGCTGGCTCGTTATGTTCCTCGGGCGTAGGAGATCTGGTGCTACTGCCGAGTTGGGAGGCGGCGCCGCCAGCCCGGGTGGTTCCCGCGCGAGTTGCTGCCGCCGGGGGCGAAGAGGCTTGTTTCCTCGACGTGGCTTTCCTTTTCGTGGGGGCCTCATCTGATTCGGAGGCTGTGGCTTCATCGTCATCAGCTGGGATGGGTGGCTTTTGGGGTGCTGGCGGTGGGTGGAATCCGCCAATGGCACCGAGTCTGCGGGTAGGAAGAGCGGCAGGTTTAGGAGCCTCGTCGGCTTCGCTTTCCGTTTCTGAGGCAGTTGGGACATCGCTGAGGTCGGATGGTTTAGGCTGTTTCGCTTTGGGGGAAGGCCGTTTCTTTGGGGAAACGGGCGGTGGGGATTTAGATCTCTGAGAATCATGCCTCGAAGATGGCGGGACCGATCTCTTCCCTATCGTGGACTCCGGTTCGCTGGCGTCGTCGGATGGTAATCCGCCCGTGTCACCTAGGCGATTCCACCACTGAGCCAGATCCTCGGCGTAATCCTTGGAACCGATATTGAGAGTGTACTCTAACCCACCGTCGTCAAACACACGGCGCAAGAGTTCGGGAACCTCCCCACCAGGGTGTCTCCTCGTCTCTTCTGCGACGGTGCTGTTCCAGGTGTCAAAATCAAACAGAGCCAGTCCTTTTACGCGGGACTCGGCCTGTTCCCTGGTTACCTTTCTCTTTGCGGGAAGTACCGTAAAGACATGCTCGAGGGATGTGCCGGTGGCCTCGAGTTTGTCGAGTACTTTGGTAATGACGGAATCCTTCTGCTTGATAATCTCAACTAATGATTTGATCTGCTCCTGCTGGGCCCGGTGCGCTTCCACAAGTGGAAAGACCAACTCAGCAGTGGTTGTCGAAGCCGATTGCATCTCTAGATACATCCGCCACGTGAGTGGTTTATCGGATAACTCGCGTGGAAGCTCACAGGTAACGGTAAGTGTAAGACCGTCCCTAGAAGTAGAGGAAGAAGATTGGGAGATAACCACGCGCGTCAGGTCGTGCATGCTGTCGGAGCGGTCAAAGGCAGCCCGGAGGCATTTGAGGAACGAGGCCATGTTCTCCTCGCCATCCGAAGGGTCAATGGTGGTGTCCTCTTTGAGAGCTCGGAGGATGATGGTGCGTCGGTCGAGAGACTCGGACCAGATGTGGGCGAGATCGGTGATGTGGACGCCGTACGAGGTTCCGGAGAAGCGGGTGGAGACGAGGAGCGTGGGGAGGCCTTGCCGTTGCTTTACCGGCAGGGGCCGCCACGTTCCGGAGAAAGACATGGTGGGCGTGGCTTGAGGGGCTTGGTCTTCCCGAAGGCCACTCCAGGGGTAGGGGACGGAGAGTTTAGCGGTAAGGAGATTTGAGAGAGTTGCGATTCAAGCACAGGCGGTGAAGCAGGGTAACGAGAGATGGGCCGATTAGGAAGGTAGGGCAAGCGTTTTAGCGAAGTATGGGCGAGACGCGAGCGAGGATATGGGTAGAAAAATCGGGCGTGCCGTGCCGTGCTAGGTCCTCAGCCACGTCAGAGTGTAAGTGATTCTCGGCTCGGGCAAGGATTCTCGGGTCTTGCAAGAGACAAGAGCGTCCCAAATTAAGGCAGGACTGTTGGGAAATAGGAAGGGGATCGGTACACAAGATGATCAACAACAGAACTAAGTAGAGTACGAGGGTGTCGATGTCGGCGCAGTATGGTCTCCCGTTCTAGACAAAACTCTGCACACAACGTTTCACTCCGGGACTTCCCCGGATGCCAACCGAGATATCACCACGTACTGCCACTCCCACGACGTGGGGGTGTTCAGATGGGGTTTCGTGAGAGGGTGTAAGGCCCCAACCTCAACGTGTGCGACAGAAGATTCCTGTTCTTCTAGATGAATGGCTGTGAATGAACTTCTGTGGGGCTCTGAGATCGGAGAGATGCGGCCTCCCGACAAGCCTCCTCGGTAAGGGTGAGTAGCCACAGGTCACCTCGTTAGATGAGGCGGACGGCCCGGCTACGACGGGCAAGAGAAGGAGTGACACAGCAGCTTGCGCCTTGAGGCTGGAAGATAATAGTATTGGAGGATACTAAGTTTTGAGCAGTGGCTCGATGAGACAGGGCGAGGCAGACACGTAAATGTCACGAAGCTCAGATGTTGTGCGCTGACTTGGTGGAACCAACGAGGTTCTGCGCGAGGGCAGCCTAATAGATGAGGAGGAGGGAAGAAAAATGGAGAAATGGAGAGTCGGGATTTTAGAGAGAGGCCTAGTTGACGCGGTCGCGTGTGTATCACATCGGCGCAGCCTCCATCATTTGATTCGTGATGGACTTGACGTTGAAGGCGGGGATGCCAGTGTCTTGGACTTTACTACACTGTGCATCGACGTCGCAGTTTCCACTTTGCAGGATCAACAACATCACCACACAGTTGCGGATGGAGAAGGGGGACAATATGACCTGTCTATATCAGTACTATTTCCAGCTTTTTCGCTCGGGGTTTTTATTTATCTCTCAGAATTCCCGGCCCGTCAAGAAAAATTGACGACAAATAAAGTCAAAATATAAACCATGTCCCCAACAATCCTAGGGAGTCTCAGTCGTCGGATAGCCGGGCTCTAACATTGATACCTAAAACGTTTCTCTGTGAGCTGGCAGAATATGCAAAGATTGACCCAAGCCACCGAGGCCACTATACGGCGACCATCTGCACGTATCTAGAAATGACGTCTACAATAGCGGACAAATTTTCAGAGTGAATGGAAAGGTACAAAGAGGAGGAGAAAGATAGGCTTTGAGAGCTGAGTTTGGAACCTTTCCGGAATCAATTGATTTAATTCTTTCCTCCCCAACTTTGCAATTGTGTGTAGAAAACGTTGAAGAGTCCAGTCAGGCAGCCGAGCTATGACAGAAATGCTCTTCCCTCTTTCTTACATGCCATCCTCGGTCGCTATCGTCCGTTTAGGCAACTGCCACACCCGCGCGAGCTCCTTCGGCGAGCTTCTTGGGCGCATGGAAGAGTTCGACGACGTATTAGCGGATTGAGCAGAGAAAGGAATAAGGTGGTCACTTGCGAACGAATGACAACCACGGTGATTTTCCTCCAGGGATTCACGGTGGTCGCGACGGTGCCGCTCAAATGGACGGATATTATCAACCCGCAGGCTTTCGAGGCAGGATCAAGGGCAAATGGGGAGCGAGCCACTTGCTCGCCAATAAATTACGAGACGTGGCCTTACACTCGCACGAGCAATCTTCGAGCGATGCGATAAGGACCACTAAGGACTGGCGGAACGACCGAATGGCAAGAGGGAAAACGCTATGGAGAGCTCAGAATGTCGAGAGGAATTCGTCGGCATTGTGCTCGCGACGAGAAAAAAAAAAAGGGCAAGAAAAAAAATGGCAAAAAGCTCGCTCGCGGTTCGCTCCCAGGGTCGAATCCCGGTTGCTTGCCACGAGCTACGAAAATTGCAACTTTCTAACCTTCTGAACGCTCCATTGACCACTTGGCCACTGGTTGTACTGTCGTCGCTACTTGAGCTACTCGGTTGGAAGTCCTTGCCGGATACTTGTATATAAAGTTATTGATATCCCTTGTGTCGAAGAAATAGGAAGGAAGGAAGTGGTGGTGCAGATGGAGGCGTGGTGCTCCTCCGCAGGAGGGGTGCATGTTGGATGCGAGCACCGGCTCCCAGCTCATCGACGATACAATGCGCTAACTCTACCTCTACCATACGGGCCGGAGGCATCGCGATCCTCCTGGCTAATGATCTCACTGGAGGATGGGGCGAGTGATACCTAATGGCGATACTTCATCGATAGCAGCCTCGCTGGCAACAGGGGCGGCTGAGGATTTAGCGGGAGGATCTAGGTCAGTGCCCAGTCGTGCTTTAGGATATTTGATTCCGTTCGTTGGGCCAACGGTTCGATCTTGAGGGCATCGGGAATTGGTGTCGAGTTGAGCGAGGGCGTTAGGGATGCGATCCACCTAGACACAGGTAACTCGACACAAGAAATTCAAAATCAATTGCCGAGCACAGAGCCAGTCGTGAGCGCAAACACGCGTTCAAAGCCACAGGGGAGCAATAGGCGACCTGCAAGGATTAGTTTGAATGCGAAGAGATGTCTGACCCGTATCTGTACCGCGATGAACACCTTTACCACCGCAGCTTTTTCAAGGCCAGTAAGATCGATCTGCGGCACGGAAGCCATCCGGGAGCTGGAGCGCTCCCAGTAGCTCCAGAATCCTCGGTCACAGGTGGGCCATGAGCCCACGTCCAAGGAGACTTTTCCAGCCGGGAAAAGGGGGCTTCACATCAAGACACAACTTCACACGCGAAAACAAGACAACAGACTCCATCGCCCGAGAAAAAAAAAATGGCTTCAAATGCATTTCCATTTAAGAAACCAGACGCCCCGAATTGGCAGTCATCTTTTTTGGCGGCCAACTCTAAATTCCAAATATGCATTGTGGAAACCTCATTGCCCCTTTAGCATATCATACCCTGGAGAAAAAGAAAAATAAGTTTCGTCAACGTCTCTTCTTATATCCCACGCACAGACCCCATGTCCCAGAAATAGACAATGTTGCGGCGTACCTCCTCTAAGAAACAGTGACCCCCCCCCTTCCAAAACAATCCCTCAAGTTCGTGAATCCATTTTTGTGTTTGTAATTCGCTTATCGTACGGGGCTCCAGACGTTCTTGAGGAGACCGTCCCGTTGCGCGAGCCTGTTAAGGGAGTCGTCGCTCTCGCCGACGGATCGGACGAAGCCGCAGAGGGCGTAGACGATGTTCTCGCCGGCGATGGCGCGGCCGTTCTCGTCAACCTTGGCGATGGAGATCTGGACGGAGGCGTGGTCCTTGGCCTTGATGATGCGGTTGGTGGCGCTGCACTTGCGGGGGACGTAGCTGTGGGAAGAATCGTGTCAGTAACGAACCTCCTCCTCAATTCACATGTCCCGAGGAATAGTTGAGCCATTGGATTGAGGAATTGCGTACAGGTCGACGGTCTCGCCCTTGTCGTTCTCCATTTTTGCGGTATGTGTTGAAAATGGCTTCGAAAGTGAAGGTTAGGAGGGTGGTGTTGGTGGTCGGATGGGTGACGATTTGAGGCTTTGGCGGGGGGTGCGCTGGACTTGGAGATGTCAAAAAATTTGGGAGTATTGTAATTTTCGTGCGGGGCGCTGGACTGGGAGGGCTGGGTCACAGGATTTGTCACGTGCCATGAGAAACATCGATTAGTCAGGTGATTTCGCGAGAGAGTCGCGAAGGTACTCTGTACTTGTAATTCTGAGAAGTAGACGGGGGAAATGTTTACTGGCTCGAGAAAGATGACCCGTTCTTCAAATCAACGCTAACGCGAATGCCCGCGTGCTTGCAATGTCGCGATATTCGACCGTTGGCTTCCTCCATTTCCCACCCGCGACCGAACAATCCCCGCTCCGTATAGAGCCCCTCGGGGGTACCGAAAATCCACCCTGTTGCGAACCGTCGCTCTGAGATGCGCCTGGCGCACTCAAATGCCCCGCACCCCTTTCTCGACCATGGCTGCGAACGCCATCCTTCTGAGTTCGTCACCGGCGGTGGCTAGCAAGCGCGACTCGCTTGGCTTCGTACGCTCGTCTTCTCCCGAATTTCCTACGTTGCAAGAAATTTTTTCACAAAAGGAGAACAGGCGGCCACGTAGTTCACAATCGCCGGAGTATGGTCGATTGGCAGCGTCGAACTCTAGATGTGGTGAGCTTCGAAACGAGTCTACGATACGGCCGACGGCGACCTCGACGATCACCAAGAGAAGAAGTGCCACGTTCGATGATGGGATACTACTGGAAGAAGTGGCGGATACCTCAACGTCATTTGTTGACGTCTCTGCGCTCGACCGTAGCACTCCCGAACGAAGGCCGCCACTCGCGGATGACAAGGAAACTGAAACTTCCAAAACTTCCAAACCCACGAAACCGAAGAGGAAAACGACGGGAAAAGTCAGTAAACATTTCAAGCCTCCTCTGGTCGAAAAGCCGATCCCGAAACCACCCGCTGGGGATATCGACGAACCCCTAAACCTACCCCCTGCACAAAGCCGGAGAGTGCAATGGACGCCCCCGCCGAAGGATACGGTGAAAGAGTTTGGCTCCAGGTCTTCGGATATCATTGAGCTGCTCTCATCTACGAATAGGGTGCCAGATGCAGTCAAGGCACGAGATGTCTTTAAGCAACTCAATGACTCGTATGGCTATGAAGAAGAGGACATAGGAATTAGGAATGCAACACCAGAGCCAGGGCAGCTGGAGACAATACTGAAGAAGCGCAAGTTGCTTGAAATGGTGCCGACGACAGCGGAAAATACCGAACAGCCTGCTCCACCCGAGAAGTCTCCTGCTAAGTCAAAGGCGCCGAAGAAGAAGAAGGCCAGAACAATCACCGGTTTGGCAACGGCTGCTTACGTGCCTAGGGATCGCGAGGCAACTCCTGAACTGGACATGGAAGCGGACCGTTCGGATTCCAAAACTCGCGCCAAGAACCCGATAACTACGAAACCGACCAAGGCCGCGGCGCCCAAAAGGAAGACCAGGCCCACGAAGAGGACGAAGAAGAAGGAAGAGCCGGAAATCGTTCTCCTATCCCCAGGAGCCGCACTGAAGCATGTCGCCAATCAAGATTTTGTGTTTGGGACTTCAAGTCAACTGGCTCGCCAGCAACTTGCTACAAACTCTGATGGTCTACCCAGACTGAGAGCCGGCCCTGCGACAGACGACGAGTTTGTTACTCCCATCAACAGCGATGCCATCGAACCTCCCGAGGCTCAACCGCGACTGTGGACGGCGGCGGCGCGGGATGAAGACGGTGGTCTACTACATACGGAAATCATTGATCTTGTTGATTCGCCACGACTGGACGGTGAAGTCGATGATGTAGATCCATTCGGCTACGTCAACATGGACAAGCGGCCATCCCAGCTTACATCTAGTCGGGCAACCGGAACCCAACAATCTCGGGTTACGAAGTCGGTGGACTCAAGTACTACCAATCGCGGTTTCGCCAGCAAGGGGACGGCCACACTGCAGAAGAATGGCGCAAGTCAGAGTACGCCGATAGAGTCGATGCTATCCTGCGATCCTTCGTCTTGGGTAATTAGCTCGACGAGCCCGCCGCCCAGCTCCCAGAAAAGGCTGCCTCGAATTTATGAGCTTGAAGCATTGTCTGGAAAGTCGGAGTTGCCGGCAAGCTCCCGGGTTGAATCTCCCACGAAGGCGCCAGAGCCCCGCGTGCCGGAGCCCAACTTGCCCCAGCGGCCGAACTTTGAGCTGTGCACAGATGCACAGCTGAGCAAGCAGATTGCGTCTTACGGATTCAAGCCGATCAAGAAGCGAGACGCTATGATTAGCCTTCTCACCCAGTGCTGGGAAAGCAAGCACCTTCCCCAGGCGGAGCTAGGCGCTGTAAGGGCGTATTCAACGGCGTCAGCGCCGCCTGCGATCGAGATGGCACCTCAAGGTACCTCCACTTCTAGCAAGGTTGACGACTCGTTGTCAATGCCGCCTCCTCCAAGTAAGCCGGCTGGTCCGGTGAAGCGGCCTCGTGGGCGCCCCCGGAAGAACCTTGTTCCTCTCTTGAATTCGGACGATAGTGATGAACCGCCGCCGTGGTCACAGGTCCCCGAAGTGGTTTCAGAGAAGCGACGACCGGGCCGACCTCGCAAAAATTCAACGGCAGCGGCGACGAAAACTGCAACAAGCGCCATTGCTGCAAAACCAAGCCGACCCTCGAAAGGAAAAGCCCCCACAACGCCAAAGAAGAAGACGATAGTAAAAGCTCCCGTGCTAGAGATACCCGACTCCGACTCGGAGATGCTCGTGTCCTCGCCTGAGTCAGTCTTCTCCTCGCCACCTTCGTTCGATATTTCAGTCACGACCGAGGACGACACGCAACTGTCTCTTGCCCTGTCACCCACAGAAAAGGAGGCCGAGCTGTTCCGGTACATCACGCAGGCGGTGACGACGGCGCCGCGATCGAAGGATCCTCAGAACCCGTCGTGGCACGAGAAGATGCTCATGTACGAGTCGATTATACTGGAGGACCTGGCGGCGTGGCTGAATACGGGCCAGCTGTCGAGGGTGGGATGTGATGCGGAAGTGTCACCTGTCCAGGTCAAGAAGTGGTGTGAGTCGAAGAGTGTTTGCTGCTTGTGGAGGCAGAGGATGAATGGTTTGGACAGAAAGAGACTTTAGGATGAAGGGGCAAAGGAGATTCGAGTTGTTGGATGTGTGGCTTGTATATATATGAGCTAAGGAGTCGGCGGCTTGGGTTTGGTGTTCTTGGGCTTGGGGCTTTTGTTCCTGTTCTGTTCCACACACTTGCACATATAGACCGATGGTTGGTGTATTGGTCCTAGCGAGTCCATTCTCGCAACTGTTACCCTATTTCTTTTGTATTGTTTTACTCTTTGTAGCGCTTATGATAGTTATGAAATACCAACGAACCGCTTCAAGCCTAGTTCCATACACCAAACGAGATGCCCAGGCCGAAAGCGAGAAGTTTCGCCGTCTAGATTCGGCGACTTCGCCAATCCACCAAGACCCAAGGTCCAAAAACTCCATCCAACCTCGGCATCTTGCAACACCCCAGCTTTTCCCCCAACCTTTCCCACATTTCCCACCTTTTCCCCACACCCCCAGCTGCCATCAAGGCTTAGCTTCAACCCCAAAAAAAAATCCCCCTTTTGTGCCGGATGGAACTTTGGAGGTGTGGTGGTGTCGAGTCGACGAACCTCGCGTGTTGCTGTTCCCCTCCTTTTCACCCCATGTGCTTCTTGAAAAGGGAATAAAAATACCGAGTACAAGTAGGGGAACATGGCCGCTTTGATGCGACGGTCGCCATTCGTTCGGGTTTCGATCCTTGAATGTAAGTCTTCGGTCTTTTTTTTTTTTTTCTTTTCCCTTACTTCTTCTGTCTCTTTTTCTCACGATTGATTGAAATCAGCCTTCACCACCAAGAATTCTTCATCTCCACGCTCATACTCAACCATGTCGCAATCGCAATCGAAATCGCAACCTCGCGCGAAACAACCCGCCGCAGAGCCGCGTCCCAGCGCCAGGTAAAAAGGAACCCTCCCAAGCCCATTTCCTCCCAAACGTAGAAAAAGGAAAATAAAATAAATGAAATGAGATAAAATAAAACAAAACCCACTTACACACATTCAAGCATCATCCTCATCTCCCCCACAAACCAAATCCTCCTCCTCCACCGCGTAAAGACCTCCACGTCCTTCGCCTCCGCCCACGTCTTCCCCGGCGGCAACCTCGACGCCCTGCACGACGGGCCCGTTGCGCCTCCCACCGAAGGCGCACTTAGACACGCCGACGGGCCCGCGTACCGCATCGCGGCGCTGAGGGAGTGTTTCGAGGAGAGCGGGATTCTTCTAGCCAAGGGGAGGGAGGATGGGAAGTTGGTGAGCGTGGGTGAGGGGGTTAGAGATGAGGGGAGGAGGAAGGTGCATAGTGGGGAGGTCAAGTTTAGGGATTGGGTTGAGGGTGTGGGCGGTGTTCCTGATGTTGGTAAGTGTCCAGGATCCCAACTTCTTTACTTTCTCTTCCTCTTCTTTTATCTCGACGTCTCGAGAGGGCTTTGACTGACACGGCGTTTAAAAAGACGGACTCATCCCCTTCACGAGATGGATCACTCCCCCTCCCTCACCCAAACGCTTCACCACCCAAATGTACCTCTACTTCCTCCCTCCCAACCCTGAAAGCACTCCCTCCTCTTCCTCTTCACCCTCCTCTCAAGAAACAGCTATCACCATCCCCACCGACACATCTCCCATCATCGTCCCCACCCCCGACGGTGGCATAGAACACACATCCGCCACCTTCGCCACCCCCTCGACCTGGCTCTCCCTCCACCACGCCCGCAAAATCAGCATGTTCCCCCCGCAATACTTCCTCCTCACCCTCCTGTCGCGCTTCTTCCCCCGCGCCGCCGAGGCCGGGACGCCCTCCCGCTCCGTCGTCGACCGCGAGCGGAGGGACCTGCTCGAGTTCATCGGTAGGGTCCCCGCTACGTTTGGGGGCGAGCGGGAGTTGGGGCATCCTACTTCGGCGATTCCGTGGGCCGAGAAGATTATTAGCCCGAGGGTGTTGAAGGCTAGGGGCGATGGGTATCTTGTGTTGGGGCTGGATAGGACGGGGGCGGAGGTGGAGGCTATTGGGGACGGGAAGGTGAGGGGTGGTGTTGCGGATGCGGTTGTGGTTGTGAATCTGAAGGCGAAGGGTGGGCCGTGGAACTTGGGTGTGTTTGGAAAGGATGAGGCGATGAAGGAGGAGAATCTGGTCAAGGGAGGAAAGCTCTAATGAGATGTGAAGCGTCTGAGGATGAAATGAACATTATCATTTATTTTGATCTTGATCTCGAGATAAGAGAGGAGAATACTTCTTGTACATAGAGATCCTCTGCCGATATAATATATATGTGCATAGCTAACTCCAGATACGAGTTCCTAGGTCCACAACCTTTCCCTGCGGTCTGGTCCATCTAAATTAGACAATGAATCCGTGTCCACATATTGATGTCTATCCTCGAACTCTGAACTCATACACAGACACCTGCCGAAATCAAGAAAAATAGGTATCACAATAGCTAAAAAGAAGACAGAAAGTGCAGAAATCCCGAGACATCAGACAGAACCTACCTCCCAATAAACTCCATCTCCAGTAATATCCCAGTCTACGTCATCCCCAACCCCCTCACAGTATCCCCCCAAGACTGCCAGTTAAAATCATCAATATTCATAACCCCATCATCGCCCCCCTCACCCGGCACCAGTCCCAGGGCTTGCCCCTGGCCTTGCGCTTGGCCTAAAGCTCCGCCACCACTACCACACGAGTTTATAGCCGCCGTCCCAAAAGGATCCTGCCATAGCCACGGCGGTATGTTGCTGGCGGCTTGCGCGTGCACCTCTTGTAAATTCGACAAGCCCATCTGCGGCGAGGTTTGGGCATCTTCTCCCGCCGCCGCTTGTGTGGGTGATGTTAAGATCGTCTGGTTGCCGTGTATGTTTGGTGTTTGCATGGCAGCAGTAGCGCCGGTTTGTAGGATGGGCTGTGCCGGCGCCGCAGACGGCAGAGTCGATCCAGGTGACATGACTCGCCACCACACGATGGGATCGAATGGCGCATCCAGCATCTCGTTGAGGTACGCTTCTCTCGTAGCATCTAAACCAGATGCCGCCTGCTGCACACTAGCGCGAACCTGCTGTTCTGTCGCCGGTTGAGACACATAACCTCCTCGATTGTCATTGAGGGTTCCCCCCATTTGGGAATCGGGCTGGGAAAGCCGGGGGGGCTGTCCCGGAATGGCCGTCGCCTCACCTCCCTCGCCAGGGGCAGTATCCGGCTGCACAAGCTCCAACCACCGCTTACGGACCTCTTCCAAGTCGACGTCCAGACCAGGCGCGCGACCAAACCGCGGCCTGTACTGACTATGCCGGTCTGCCAAGTCCAACTTTCGGACTTCGTCGGGGCTAGTCTTAAGCCGCACGATTTCGGACTCACGATGTCGCCGCGCCTTGAGGAGCAGCTTGCGCAGGGGCATCCACACGGCCAAGTGATCAGCCGTCTTGGTAAGATCGAAGTTCTGGCGGTTGTTAAGCGTCCGGTTCAGGTCACCCCACGCTCGCTCTAGGGTCGGCGACCACGGCCGGCGACACATCTCGAGAAGGATGTACGCAATGGCGTGCCATTGGGTATACGTCTGGAAGAGCCACCTCCACCGCTTAAACTGGGGATCGTTGTTAAGTTTGTAGCTGTATTCTATAATCTCGACGGCCGAGATGAATAGCCTCTCCTTGATCGCTTCCGAGAGATCGTTTCCGTTGCCGGGGAAGAGCGCGGGCTGGTAGATGATGAGGGAGCTCTTGGCCATCAGGATGCGAGCTACTAAGGTTGCCATGATAATGAGGGGACGGTTCTCGTCGTCGCAGTATTTCAGGAAATTGGCCTCGACTCTGGCGTACGTTTCGACAAGCATACGTTCCCTCTCCGCCATGCTGGAGGACGTATCCTTGGGGCAGACCGAGCCGGCTGCGGTAGCGAGGGCGAAGAGGCGACGACTTAGAGCAATAACCTCATGGCGCACAAGAGCCATAGACGTGTCGGTTAGCCCCTCGCGGGCTGGTGGCATTTCTGTTGATTCTGGGCTGATATCTTCGTCGTTGATGTTGGTGGGGAACTCCGTGTCGAAGGTACGGTTGACTATAGTCAAATCCGTACCCATTTCCTCAGCGGAGCGCATATCAATGCCGCAAATCACCCACCACACTCGTCTTCTCATTTCAGTCTCGAATGGCGGTAAATTGAAATGAGTGCCGTCACGGTGGAGGCCTAGTCCCTGGGCGATGCGAATAGCCAGACCGGTAGTGGTCCAGCAAAACCGCGTGTCATCAATTCGTCGAACAACCACAAGGTATAATGTAAGGGCAGTGAGAGACGTGAAATCAAGGCTCCTTAGCAGATTGGTTTTTGCCAGCGCTTGCTCCAGGGCAAATCTATAGCGCTTCAGCAACGGTGTTTTAGGAGAGCCAAGTTGCGCTTCGACCTGGAGGGAACATTACATTAGCACAAGAACAAGAAAATAAAGAAGACAGGGGATGAGAGCCAAAGGAAATATATATATATATATATGTATCATCATACCTCGTCCTCCTCAAGGGCGACCAGCGCGCCAAAGTAAATCGCAAATACCAGCGCCTCATTTGGTGGCGTGAGGTTGGGGGTACCGCCATTTGCCAGTTCTTCAAACGTTTTGTCAAGGGTGGGTACGTGGATGAGCTTTATCGCCTGGTCCACGCTCTCCTTGTAAGCCTGCCATAGGAAAGGGATTTGTGACTGAGGAGGATGGAAAGAAGATAGGTCGATGTCGGCCGCTCGATAACCGAACATGAAAGCATCGTGGCTTTGTAGGTCGGACGACTCGGCCGGTTCTGGAGTTTCTTCTTCCGAGGTATAATCGGTATCATCTGACAAGATGTGGACGCCGCTTCGAATCTCGTCGAACTAAATAACAGTCATCGCAGTGAGTAGAGGTGACCGGGACGGAATAGGGTCCTCCGAAAGAACTTACCTCGTCTTTGACGCTAGACCAAAACGCACTGCTGATATACCTTCCTTCGCCCTTATTGATCACCAGCCTTCCAAACTTCTTGTACAAGCTCGCGTTCACTTCGTAATTGGGTGCGTACGATGGACCCGTACGCCCGCCGGATGGTCTAGGAACGGCGGTGATGCTAGAAGGCGATGAGTCCTCTTTACTTGTCGGTGTCGCGCCGCTGCCACTTCCATACTCGTCGCACGCATCATGGCCGCAGCCCTCAGGCGAAGCAGCAGACGCCGACGTATGACGAAGATCACTAGTGTCGACCTGACTACTCAACTCCTCAACAATCCCCTCCAACTTCCTCAATCTCTCCAACAGTTCAATCTCGCGCTTCTTAGAGTTCGGCAGCGGCGCGTCGGGGTCGCGCGGGCGAGGTCGGCGAGGCGCGCGTCCAGGGGCCGGGAAGATGCATTGTATCTGATTCCTCCGACAGTTGGAGCACGGCATGCGCTTGTCGCAGCGCACTTTCCGACGACGACACGTCACGCAACTGCGAGGATTCAGGGCAGGCGATCTCGGCGCATTGGAACCGGTGGGCGGCGACGGAGCTGTCGAGGGGATGTGGGTGGGGGCGGCGGTGCCCGGCTCTAGGACGGTGAAGGCGGGGACATGATTGCCAGCGTCCGATGGCGCGGAGGGCGATTCGGGATCAAAATCTGTGTCCATGGTGGTGCTTGGTTTTTTTGTTTTGGTTTTGGTTTTTTTTTCCTGCTGCAATGCTGCAAGCCGGAGGGCTGCGGGTAGTTTCACGCTTCGCGGGCGCTTCTTCGCTCTCTCCCTCGGTACATTAGGCGGGGGAGGGGGGGCCAAAGAAAGGTGTGTGGATGAAAGGGCGTGGCGGACTGATGGCGCAGAGGAGCGGACGCCTGGAGCCGGTAAATCTCGTGGCAGGCCCGGCGGAGCACGGTAGATTTCAGGTCGTGAATGGATTCTGGATCGTCGGGAGGCAGGTCGAGCAGCGTGAAGCCGATGGAATTGGACTTGTCGCGGGGAACTCGTGATGAAACTAATGGAGTCATAGACCCATAGTCTAACTCCAATTTAATATTTTTCTGTTGTTCTCTCCTCACTTTTTCGCTCCTTCTTTTTTGTCGCCTCAACTCTTTCCCAGTTCCTCTTGCGGTTTGGGCGCTTCTTGGCAACGTAAGCAGGCTCCATCGCTTGATTTCTCAGCAGTCTGAACCCAGTTGCCAACTGCCTGGAGTCAATTTGGAGGTACTAATACCCCTGCCCAATCCTACGAGACGGATTTTAGGCCCGCATGCCGGTATTAGTTCACCCGAATTTCGGATTTAGTAGGGCCAATTGTATCAGTACACCGACTCCGAGAAACTTCGATCCCTTCTCGCAATCGTTGGATGTTTTTTTTTTTTTTTTTTTTTTTTTTTTTTTTTGTCACATGAATTCTTGCAGCAGAACAATAATCTAAACCACATCGGCCGTGATCGGCATTCTTTCTCTTGCTCCTGTCATCCGATATTTATTTATTTGCTTTTTCCCCCTCTCGCCGTCTTCAATAGGTTCTCCTCCATGAAGCTTACCTCCAAGCTGCGGCTAATGGAATTGATAGGCCAATCCGTTAAAGCCATTGGTTCCTTTTGGGGTCAATCAAAATATAATGGATTCTGAGGGCGTCTAGGACATCAATATCATGCGTAAAGGTCGAGGTGACAGAAGAGGCCGGCTTTTTTTTTTCTCTCTCTTTTGTTGCTAACATTGTTCTCGGGTATATGAAAATGGAATTCTTAAACTTTCTTCATGATTATCAAGAGCCCAAATAGTTATTTTGAACCCAAAAGGGCACCATCGCTCCTCAAACAGGCGCTATCTAGTTGCTCGCTAGGTAGAACATCGAATGGTCTCAAAACGGTGAAAACGGTGAATCCTGTGGAGTGTGAATAAGAAACTTGTAATTCAACTCCTTTCTCTTCCAGAGTTTCCGCCATGGGTAAAATAAGTTCATTCCAACTGTCACCGCGATAGTCGATAGCGTCTAAACTTAAGCCTCGATTTGCACCGTGGGACTAACGCAGACGAGATATGAAATGTACACAAGGACAGGCTCAGGTCGTGGGCGAAGAGTACGCTTATAAACGATTTCAACCTTTCGAACTTCTCCTTTTAAGGGGACCCCCCGTCAGTGCATCGGAACCATATTATCTTCTCCATCCTCATTCCAGACGAAACCTCGCTCGAAATCGACCTCGGCGCTCTATGTTTGCCCTGTCCGTGACATCTTCCTCTCCTTCTTCTTCTCCCGAATGCACGAAATGCAACAGCCGACAATGAGCAGAAAACCTAAGATAGGAATCCCGACCGCTACGACACCGAATCCCGCCCATGAAAGCCCGCTACCGCCTCTTACCAGGTTACTGTTGTTGGCTTCTGTCCCGGAATGGACATCCTGAGTTCGCTCCTTGGAATCTCTGTTGGAGGTGGCGGTGATACGACACTGATATCCGACTTCCCCCACGACGCTACCCACGCGGAATATACCAAAGGCCCTGCGTGAGAGTCTTGAGTCGATCCCTGGCCTAGTAGTGAGGTACTAGTAAGTGTTTCGGTAGGCGGCGGATAGGGACGGAGCTGGAAATATTGTATATGCGCGGCGGTGATGTGATCGAGAGGGAATGGTGCTAGGAGAGAGTAACCACTAAAAGTATTGTAAGGCTAAAATCCCGACTCGGTGATCGGTTAACTGACATGGCACAACAATATGCGGTCGTAATGGCTTTCTTCTCAACTTTAGCAGTATCAACCGACGATGCGGTCTAGGGCTCTGCGCAAACAGCAGGACTGAACGAATCTCAGCCTGATAGACGGTATATCTCTCGTCGGCCGGATCAGATACTTTAGCACTGAGGATACTACATTCATTGTATGACTAGGGCAAGGATATAGTTGTAAAATCACGGAACAATTCGTAGTCCGTCGGCTGGGCGAACTGCGTAGTGAGTGTCAAGGTTGCCATCGGGGGCAAGCTGGACTTATAAGCTTACACTTGAATGACTTTCTTTATCGTGCTCGATCGAGGTGTCACCTTATTCAAATTGAAGCCACTCCGCCGCTCAGAGGAAAACAGGTCATCGATCCGCTAGGAACCCGAACCCGCCTCCCGGCAGACACGCTACAGAGAAGGAGCCAAACCAATTTACCGGGAAACTTCCAAGTAATTTTGCGGCTTTGCCCATGAGACGGGGTACTCTGGGGCGTGGCGGAGTCAACTAATACTGCCACTGGTCCTTGAAGACGTGCTGGCGTAAAACTGTATCTTGTCCTATCTTCCGGGGGCCACGAAACGTAGGCTGTCGTGGTGGAATCTGTATGCGTCCCCAAAAGGGTCCAAGGTGATGTTACACAAGCGCAGAACACTACCCCACAAGCCTCACAAGGTAATTCTCCATCATTGGAATGGCTAGCGTTAGAGCGCTGGTCCAGCTTGGTGACCGCAAATGTTTTAGTTCGTATATCAATTGATCCATGGCTGGAGTTGGGCATAGCAATATACGCTTGCCGTCACTGGGAGAACAGGAATCAGGACAAGGTGGAGAGAGGCGAAGACTAAGAAGAACAAGCATCGGCAACTTGTGGAGCGGGCAAAGTCGTTGGGAGGATCCAACAAAGGCTGAACGCCAAGGCACTGTCACACATCAATCAATAACCTGCCCGGTTAGCTCAATCGGTAGAGCGTGAGACTCTTAATCTCAAGGCTGCGGGTTCGACCCCCGCATTGGGCTCAAATCCCAATGCGCCTTCCAAGAAGGCACATCCGATTTTTTTTATTCTTTTTTGTTTTCTCCGGTTTTCCTTTCCTTTTCTTTCCTTTTCTTTTTTTTTTTCTTCCCCTTCTCCCATTTTCTTTTCTTCTCCTTTTTCTCCTTTTCAATATTATTGTTTTCCTTAAAGTCTCTGTTCAGATATGGGCGCACCTGGAATCCAATTTCTCATCTCGGCGTCGTCAGCATACAACTCTTCAGTGTATTAATAGTCAATCGTAGCCGTATTGTAGCAGTAGTCTAGGTGAGGCCAAACAGTTCTCGTTTGGCCTTATTACATGTCTCATCCTTCATGATCCTTGACCATACCGAAGCCGCTCTCGTTGATGGCTGGCGCCATTGTTGAGATACGAAGACAACATCCTTCCTTATCCCCGGCTGTTGGACGCGTCCTCGTCTTCAATCTCCCAATGATTTAGATGACTACCCCCACAGCCTGAAGTTTAGTACCAACCGGACATGGCATTTTAAGGGGAAGCTATGAGCGGAAACGGTTGACATTCAAGTCTCCGGTTCAGGGATTTCGGACCATACCTCTTTAGTGACCGCAAATCGGACAGCACCCCCATCCGCTTCGCAAGCAGGCTCTGATGTTGAAGCCGTGAGTGGCGGACGTAGCTCGCTTCTCCTGTTCTGCGGTCGGGGCGGCAACGACGCTGAGAGCGAGCGCAGCGACGGCAATGGCGGTGGCCTTGATTTTCATCCTGAAGATCGGCAAAGAAGCTAAATGACGAAGAGAAAACGGTAGAAATAATATCAATGTCAGGGGGTAATTGCCAGATGCTTGAGCTTTCAAGTGGTTGGTATGGATATGGCCTATAGACAAAGGAGACGAACTCTGGGGGTATATGGCATCTTATATACTTGGTCGCCCTGGTCAAGTAAGCCAGGATCTTAGGGACACGAATCCCATTCTGTCTCTACGTTCTACTAGGTTGTGCTTCGCCTGTTACAGACTATTAGCTACTAGCCCTTGCTTTTTGTGCTTGGTCCGCGATGCCGGCCTAAGTCACATTGGTGAATGTTGGGTCCTATATCACCCTGCCGCGACCAACCTTGCCGCTATGCAAGGGTCAATTCAAATAGCGGTGTGCTCTGGAATATGGCCAGCTGGATTAGAGTTGGTGCCATGATTCCAAGAGGAAAAAGTCCGATGTCGAATGTTCTTCTAGATATCTCACAATATCGTTCTTCCCAACGCCAACTATACACTGCTCCAGTCACCAACAGATAACCGCAATGTTTTCATCCAAACCTAACGGCTACAGGCCTATTCAAGACGACACCACACAAGATGCCAAAAGTGATAGTGATTCCGGTAAACGGGGCTCGAGTGCGAGAAGATGTCTCCACATTGCTCAGCATCGTCCTGGAATTTCCATTGCTATCCTCGCGTTGTTTCTAGTCGCAAACGTCATCCTATTCGCATATTCTATGGTGAACCTCCAGAACATCCAAAACAGCCATGAGACCGACGCGAAGAGCCGATATTTACATCATGAGTTAAACTTGGACTTGAAGAAGACATCGTCTTACTGTGCGTGACTGACTAATTTCGTCTCTCCCTTCCCATTTACAAAGCTAGGTCTGAGTACCGAACGGTGTAGCTCTTCTCCTCGACTTGATCGACCTCAAACCTTCAATCAAAATAATTAATGGCGCACTCCGCGATAATACGTCTCTGTGGCGGATGGCACCTTCACCAGAAGTTGACGCAGCTTGGGATCGCATCTCCGCCGAGGACTTACAGATTATCACGGTTTCCTCATCAGACATCGTCAAATCAGGGAAAGACCCTTCCCACTCAGTCAAAGCCCCTTCGTCGTGGGGCTTTGGGAACGACGCCTACATAGCCCAGGTCGAGGTCTTCCACCAGATTCATTGCCTGAACGAGCTTCGGAAGGAGCTCTTTTACGATTATTACTATCACAACGCGCCACGGAACGAGCTCCACATAAGCCACAAGACTCATTGCATCCACATCCTCCTGCAGAGTCTAATGTGCAACCCAGACGTCGGGATTATAACCCATAACTGGATCTATGACGAGAAATACAGCGATCCAAAGACGCGACCGTTTCCAGACTTCAGCGTGGCGAAAAAGTGTAGGGACTTTGATAGCATTTTGAGGTGGCTGGAAGAGGACGGGGGCGTGAAGAAATTTTCGAGCAAGTTCCCGATGGAGTATCCACCGGGAGCATTCGTCTTGCCTGGAGACGGATATAGCGTTGCTGGCGGGAAGGCATTTTGATGACCCCGGTCTGGGACGCAGCGCTACTCAGTATGGAGGTGTGAATACGAGACAAAAGACATCGTTGCGGGAGGTTCGAGGATCGTTGTTCTGCCTGGAAAAAATAGAAGAATCGCTAAGACAACTAATGGAATGAAGCCCTACAAGGGAGCCAGTTTCGTCTTGGAAGTACTTGTCATGCGTTGCTGTGCTGCGACTCTCTCACAGTGCTATACTCATTATTCCACTCCCAAGATTGAAGCTCTTTTTCGGATGGTCTACGGCCAGAATATTGAACGAGGAGTGAACCCTACGGAGCAACTCGGTCGCTTGCGACGGGTCGCGGATCCCCTGCAAGGGGCTCCGAGCTACCCTCTATTCACCAAAGGGATGAACACAAACTTTGTAGATCCGAAAAGCCGGTCACTCGCAGGAGTATGTCATGAACGCCGAGGAAGCAAGAGCTTCGAAGCGCCCACTTCATGCACGCACAGCTGTGTTACTTGAGGCTTCGATTTCATTTGTCTAAGGTAGGTCACTCCAGATATCCGACATTCCATTCAAACTGATATCATATATTCAATCGGTCCTTTTCTCAAGGAACTTCCGATATGTGCATAATATGTGTAGATCACCGAAAGGTTTATCTCTCAAAGCCCTGCCTAACCGCATGATCCCGAAAGCTATGCAAAAGACATATTTCGGTATTGAAGGGACTTATCGAACGTTATGCGCGCGTACTTCGTAAGTTGTGTTATTCGGGTCGCGCATATGCCATGGATGCCAGTGGACACGGACACATCCCTTGATCCCATTTCAGCCGCCCCTTCAACAAGAAGGACATATTGCCGCTATGTGGCCTTTTATCAACACCATATACGTACTCCAATTATCCCCAGGCGCATTGCTCCCTCCCCCCTACGAACATCAGCCTTGTTTCCCGTACCATCGTCTATCGTCGCCTATCGACCCTCACGTAAACTGACAGCCCAGAAGACTGGAGAGGACCCCCTTAGCTCGAATTCTATTTAAATATCCCAAGGAGAAGAAAGAAAGAATGGCAATCCACCACTTAGAAACGTACGTAACCCCCACTCGTTTGTGGGCAGCCGCACCGGAAACGAGTTCAAATTTCTGCGCATCAAGGCGACTATCTCCGAGTCATTCATAGGAGCGCTCTAACAAAGTACCACGATAAATAGTGCCGAGGGCGTTAAAGCTGCCATTAAGGAGAAGAAGTGTGTCCTCCTTGACTTTTACGCAAAATGGTGTGGTCCTTGCAAAGCCATTGCTCCATTCGTGGAGGAGTGAGTATTGTTCCCCGCCGTGACCGCGGATGCGACGAGCACTTCATACTTCACGATATACCCCTGGAACGTGCCCAGTATTAAGGCTTACCGTCCGTTCCAATTATCTAGGATCTCAAACAACGAAAAGTACAAAGATATCTTTTTCGCTAAAGTTGACGTCGACCAGCTCCCAGAGCTCAGCGACGAACTTGGGATTCTAGCCATGCCAACCTTCCTTCTATTCAAGGATGGAGAGAGGGCTGGAGAGCTGGTCGACCCAAAGCCGGATACGTTCATTGAACTAGTTGGGAAAGGCCTTTAATGTAAAGTTACCTTGGCCGGGTCTCGGGGGTGGCTCATCCAAGTAACATATACTCAGTGTGGTTTTGGATGGGCCGGTTCGAAGATACTGAAGGAGAGAAATGGAACAGGGCGAAGAGAGAGAAGGGCGATAGAGCATTCGTCGCAGAACCACCAAGCTACTGTCCGCGTTGGGACAAGATATCAAAATAAAGAGAAAGAGACTAGACTGTCTTGCCATATGTCCCTTCGCTCGTGACCGAGTAATTGGCTGGCGCCCATATGTGAGACCATCTTGCCAAGGAAGCTAAGCTCCTCCATAGAGGGCATGATCTATGGTAGATCAGGCTTGAATCCTTTCGCGCTGAACATATTGAGGGCTAGGACTAAAGAGAGGAGTTGTCAATATCATCACGTGATAATTGCTCTGGCGGCCTTAAGGGGAATCGAGGCTCGTGAGCAGTTTCCAAAAATTGTCAAGTACAATCCTAAGTCACAAGGAAGAAATTAAAGGCCACAAGTCGCTATTTTCCAGAAGTGAGATGTGTAATTACCAAGCCACAATCTCCTCTTGTGGATGGATGAGTCGAGAACACGGCTTCGCTCATGGCTTGCAAGAGGTACGTGTGGGTGTAAATCTCACATGTTGTGGAAGAGACACAAGAAGATTCATTGTTGTCTTGGTGTGTGGGTCCAGCTTCCCGCTCCGCTGAATTTGTAAATTCATGCCTCACATTTGAGGTTTGCAAGAAGGGCTACTGCTCAACATGACTTCCCTCACTGTGCTGCGTAAATTGACTCAGAATCATGCAACGAGCACTGCTGGACATCAAATCACATCAGCTCACGCCGCGGAATAAGTCGACGGTAATGGAAAGCTTCCTCTTGCCGTAACCCTCCTCAAAACAGATCAATTGGGTCAATCTCCCTTCAGTGGCTCTTGGTGACTCTCACACTGGCTTTTAGGCTCATGGCCCCATCTCCTTATCCACCAATTCGGGGAGGCCGAGGCAAGGAGGCTGACAGAAATCGAAACCTTGAATGTCGAGCTCGAGATTTTGTGTTGCATTCATTGCGGGAAGCTGGGGAATACGAGAACCACCACCAACTCCCCAGCTGAGGCAGGATCAGCTTGAATCTTGGTTCAAATTTCTGTCTAGTGCCTGGCCGAGCCAGTCATGTTCTCACGACTCCATTTAAAGTCGAGCCGGATGCTGCTTTGCTTGGCAAGTGACGTCTTCCGGTCCATGGTAACCATCGTCTCGGCGCACCTCAACCACGCTAGCTTGCTTGTCTGCGACTGTGTCTCGAGCATCTGCTCGCCGGATCGGCTTTCGCGCAGCCCCGGACCTTTGCACCGGCCACTTTTCAAATGGTCGGGCCCTTTGCTAGCTTGGGATTCGGATCCGGCTCTCGACTCTCAGCCCTCGTGCGCGTTTCTACTCTCTCGGAGAAGCATGGCCTCTCGCTTCTCGGTCCATGGCTCCGACTTGGCTCAGGGCATGGAGAATTTAGATCCAATAGTCCCAATGGCAGCCCGTCCTTTAGCTGCTTGGCCTTGAGGGTCTTCGTATTTTGCTATTTTGGCTATTTTGCCCCGGCCCAAATCTGAGGGGACCGGACCTGCACACCTCGATCCTTCGGCCTGCAATGCAACCCACCCCTACTATCGGCAGGTCGATATTCTGCTCCGAATGGTTACTCAATTGGCTTCCACCCTTGACCTCCGATCGAGATCTCTCGGCAATCGCCTGGCTCCCCCGCAATGTGTCACCGATCAGATCACGAAGTATTTGCCAGACACAGTTGCAGTACAAGTGGAAACATGTGTTTATGAGCTGAATCACCCACCCGGACGGTTCAAAAGGATGCGCTTGAGGACCCTTTGGTATCAACGGGTCTCAGTCTCTTGGTCCGAGCCGTTTTATGAGTATTGGTCTCGTGCTATCTCCGCCCTCATTGATTCTTGCCCACCCGTCTCCATTGGCCTTTTGCATCTCACTTACCCGGAGTGCCGTGGATTTTTCAAGACTATTGGCCTCGAGCCTACTTCGTACACTTGGGTTGGAACTGCTCTTTCCTCGGACAGAGCAACGTATCGGCGTAGGCAAAGGACACCAACTCCTTTGGTATCATTGACCACCCCGTACTTTACGGACTGACGGACTGCAATTTGCTACAACTACACCCCGTACACCAGGAGTCCCGATCAGAAGCGAAATTTCTGCACTCTTCCACCCTGCATCCGACGGCGTGGAAGGCCTAAAATCTTCGATCTAATTCCTCGGTTCGAAAGAGATCTCATCAAATCTCTGATGAGATGCATACTAGCATCGAAAGCTGAATCTACCGTCAGCAGAGGAGCGGAGCAGGCTGCACGTGTGAGGCGGCAACACTGTATGTTTTGTAAAATGAAGGTCCGGATCCTCCAAAGGGATGGAATCCGAGTTTATTTCGTATTTCACACATCGCCGGGTCCACGTAGCGCCATTGACGAGGCCCGGGCTGGGGAGGATGAGCCGAGGGTTGGTGGTACGAAGCAGGCTACGCACCAACATGATCTGGATCTTGCAATTTCCTCGTGGTCTTGTGGTTTTCGCTCTTTGTTTCGTCTATCCTGTATTTTGTTTTTCCTATTCTCCGCCCTTCTTCTACTCGTTACCTGTCTTCAAGTCAAACAACACACAAAATAAGCAGGACCTGGTATTTCGGACTTGCAATTCACCTGAAGAATTCCTGAATTCCTTCAAGATTGCACTGATTGCCACAATTGGACCAGGGATGACCACACATAGTTTTAGACTGGACCGCGATGCAACCCTTTTGGGGTCACCAAGCAAGCCTCGCAGTGTAAGCCCGCGCTAAGGGTCCCGCGCACCATCAGATATTCTAACGCCACCAGAGGGTCAATGGTAAGACCTAAGCTACGCCGATGGCTTGTTGTTCGTTATCCGTTTGTATCTTAGTTGCTCGCTTCCTCAGCTTCTTCCAGCCGGTCCCGCGTCGGCCGACTTAAACTCAAAGTTCGAGTTTGGCTTAGCCATGCCGGGTCCGCTCGAAGTTCCGCTGGGCCAACTTTGATGGCGCCACAGACCGCATCTTGAGGGAAGAGTTCTCGGGGTAATGAATCAACCATTACACAACCGCTCTTATTTTTATTGTTCTTTTTTGTTCCACTCTTTTTGTTTAGTGCGCTCTTTCGGCCGTATTTGCAATATTTGGGAGAGAGCTGCAAAGGTGGGGAAATGGTCGAAAGTATCAACTACCCTGGCTACGTACGAGCAAGGGGGGAGGGAAGCCCATAAGTCAGTGGCTGTTTTCGGGTGGATATCGAAGATGCAAGGCCAAGGTAGGTGCATACCCTTTGGAAATTAACCAGACCAGACGCGCCAGAGAAAGAGAGCTATCCCATGGCGCCGGCCCTTGGGAGGAGCTGCATGCTTCGTACGTAGATGGACCGATGATAGCGTGGTCCTTGAGGGTGTGGGAATAAGCTCCAATGGGCTACCATGGAACGGACTCTCTCTTCTTCAATCAGTCTGTGTGAAGGGGGGGTGTGTGTGCCTCGCCCAGGAACCTTTCCGAAGAGCAATTGCATGACCCAGACCCAATCTAAGGGGAAAAGATAAAAGGATATGACATCGCGAGTATATATACTATTAAGACCTCCATCCTCATCAAGCTGATTCTCGAGACATTGTCTTCTTCTCTTCTTCTATCTTCTCTTCCCGTCAGTCCTTTCCACCTCCCCATTTTCCTCACCAACTCCTCAAACTCGACCCGTTCGAAGAACCTTACAGACCATAAGATGTCCTCGAACGGCTCCTACCCCCCAGGACCGTCCACGGCCGCCGCGGGCCCTGGCGAGGTCGGCGCGGGGATGACGCTTGATCCCGTCGAGCGCACCAAAACCTTTGGCATGTCGCACCCGTTGAGAAACGAGGTCGTGGCCGCCATCGCCGAGTTCTGCGGCACCTTCATGTTCCTCTTCCTCTCCTTCGCCGCGACGCAGGCCGTTCTCCTCACCCGCCACGGCGCCCCTCTCGATGCGGCTACGCTGCTGTTCATTTCTTCGGCTTTTGGCGGTGCCATTGCTGCTAATGTGTGGGCGTTTTACCGCGTGTCTGGTGGCATGTTTAACCCTGCTGTAAGTGTTCTTTTTCTTCTTCGAATTCTTTTTATACAACGACTACGTGTGTTGGTCTTTTTCCACGTCTTTATATACTCACGCAGAGACCCACACCACCACCAGATTACTCTAGGCCTCGTCCTCGTCGGCGCCGTCAAGCCCATCCGAGGCGTAATCGTCTTCATCGCCCAAATCGTCGCCGGCATAGCAGCAGCAGCAGTCGTCGACGGCCTCCTCCCCGGCCCCCTCCTCGTGCGCAACACCCTCGGCACCGACGTGAAAGTCGTCCAGGGCCTCTTTATCGAAGTCTTCCTGACGGCCAACCTCGTCTTCGTCGTGTACATGCTGGCTGTCGAGAAGCACCGCGCCACCTTCATCGCGCCGCTGGGCATCGGCATCGCCATCTTCATGTGCCACATGGTGGGCGTGTCGCTTACGGGCACGTCGGTCAACCCCGCGAGGTCTTTCGGCCCTGCCGTTATCGCGGGGTTCCATGGTTATCACTGGATTTACTGGGTTGGACCGCTCTTGGGCGCGCTGTTGGCCTTTGCCGTGTTCAAGCTCCTTCAGGTCCTCAATTACAGCACTTGCAATGTGGGACAGGACGAGGATGGACTCGGCACGTACCGCGTTGGTCCTGACAATCAAAATGGCCACGCACATCCTAATGACAAGCACCTCGTGTAATAAAAAGAAAAATTGCGAAAAAGAAAAAGGGGAAGGGGGGTGAGACACACACACACGATGGAAATTCGTGGTGTTCTCGTTGTTTACTTCTTTTGGTTATTGGAACCGGGTGCCGCTAAGAAAGACGAGATGAAATTACGACCTGACCAGACGACCTGTCGTCCTGCAAAGCGTGCATGTGTGCATGAAGGGAGCCCTGCCTGCATCCGGCGTTCCACACCCTTGGAAGAGGCGGTGTCAGCGGAAAGAACTGACCTGTTGCGGGTCCCTCCCTTCTGGCTTCTGCCACACACACAGACGGTCAGACCCGCTGTCAAGAGCTCTGGACCTGGACTAGGCGGGCTAAGACGGCGAAGGCGATCAATTGATGCAGGAAGAGGGGACCAGGAGCGGGAAGAAAAGGGGCGCCAATGGCAAAAAGTTTTTTCTTCTTTTTCTTTTTCTTTTTCTTGGGAGACAAATCATACTAGACTGCAAGTGGCTTGCATTGTTAAATACTCGTAATATAATAATATAGGTTTTTAATTTTTTTCCTATGCAAGATGGATGTCCTCGTAACCGCTTGCATCTTGGGGGGCGGGGATGCATCGTGAGTCAGGCTTGGGAGGCGAGACTCGACTTTGTCTTACACCACGATTCTAGTCGAGGCTTGCGATTTTCTTGGCTTCTTTATCCTGCGTACTCCGTACATCGAATTGCTTGGCCCTAAACGACCTCGCGCCTTGGCTCGGTTGCTTTTACAGCGAGATCATATGAGTGTCGTGCAAAGAGAGCCAGCTGGCATAGAACAGCGTCCACATGATGTCGTTGGCGAAGGCTACGATGTATTTAAGTGGGAAAGGGCAACTGGCAGCGGGCCTAGAGAAGGATGGAAGCAGAGATGCAGATGGATCGAAGGCTTTTCATGCACGTCTTTTAGAAAAACGTGCCATTGTCGTCATCGTGGCCTCTTCTTCCCCATCTGATGTTCGAATTTTTGTAAACTATAAGACCTGTGAGATCCGATCCAGATCCAGAGTCAAGGTCTCTCAATAACCTGGGGTTTCCCAAGACCAGGAACCCATCGTGATAATCGCTTCGTAGAAACGACGACTTCGTCTCTCAGAGGCCAAGACTAAACCAGCCCGTTCACCGGGTAAGTGAATCCTCTCGGAAATGAAGCGAGAGCCAACTACCGAAAATACGACGAAAACAGCACAAGGAAAGCAAAGACCAGCCTGGTCCAACCCTCCGAAACATTTTCTCGCCTGGCTAGAAGAGAGAAAAATCCACTACAGCCTCTCGTCCCCCCTCCTCCCTCACGCCACGCCTGCATCGCGAAATGAACCACCACCCCAATTTCCCACACCAAACTGGCCTGACAAGCCCCAAACTTGACAGATCTAAGATCTCGCTCCACATCTCCACCCATCTTTCAAAGTCCCCCATCCGAAAGCCCCATCCTATCCCACACCCTCCAGACACGCATATAAGCTTGAGATCCTTCAGCTACCGAGATCGCGTGCCGTCGTACCGGAATACGACATACCGAATCAGATTTTTTTTTTTCCCGTCTCTTCCCGGTGTGATGGGACCACAGTGGCACCCACACACTTTTTCTGACATCTAGTGGAGCCGCCTCTCGGACGAAAAAGAAAGAAAAGAAAAAAAAGCGAGATGGATATTTTTAGTGAGGCGCACTAAGAAAGACCCACGATATTTCAGCTGCTCTTGGCTCTGAGACCTGCAGCCTCCTGCCCCCCTCTCTGCCGTGTCATGTCGTACAATCTCCCCTCCAAGCTGACCTCATTCCCCTCGCTACTTCGTAAGACTCCCCCCTCACAACTGAGGGACACACTTGTGTAGCTGCCCCCGCACGTCAAACTCCATCTTCGCCAGTCGGCGAATCCACGACTGGCGAATCCACTTCTCCTCCTCCTGCGGGTCATCAAGAAGGCACGGAAGATGCTCCTTGCTTCTGAAAGGATTCCGCTGCACCTTCAATCCCGCCAGTTAACGGGTGTGCGACTCCCTCCACCCCCTTCCGTGTTCAGCGAGCAAGAGATCATAGATGGAAAGCTTAACGCCACACATATCCAGCGAAGCGGGACATCCAGACGCGTAATTTCCCTCTGTTCATTGCTTTTGCTGGAGAGACCTTTGCTCCTCTGAGCGCTCACGAAGCTCACCTCGTCCCATTTCGTCACAGTAGCTTCGAAGCGAGTACGAAGTGAGTACGAAGCATAGGAGCATCAGCGCATGACAGCACTTAACAACAGGGAAAAGGAGAAAAATTCTCAATGGCAATGCGCAGTGGCGTTGATTTTGGTAAATGTAGATGATGCACCATTCAAAGCCTCCCCACGTAACAAAGGTGAATGAATTCGAAATATAAATAACACAAGTATTAAAAAAAAATGTTTGGTTTCTGGGGCTTCTGACAGTTAATCCACAAGATTTGCCCTAGTACTAGAACACCAAAAAAAAAAAGTTCCCAGTGTCGTCATGCTGCTTCCTGCTCTCTTACTCTATCCTTTTTGCGAATGGGCAGGTACAGGTTACACAACCAAAATGCTTTCAAGGAACAAGGAGAACGGAGGAAACAGAGACAATGGCTGCTAGAGAATCTTCGCGGGCCTGAGCATGACGAAAGGCTGGTTGCGTAAACAACTAATTAGGCGTCGCGAACATCAACAATATGGCCCTCATCGTCGACAGCAACCTTCTTCTTCCTCGTCGACATCTTGACAGGGTTCTTGGCGTCGAAGATTTCGTCCAGTTGTTCGAGCTGTGAGCAGAGTTAGTTAACTGCCTTGCCATTGGAGGGAGATTCCCAATTCTTAAACACAAAAAGACTAAACTTACAGTGCGACCCTTGGTCTCGGGGATGAAGAAGTAGACCACAATCACCTGGATGGCGTCCCAGATGGTAAAGATGATGTACGTCTTCCAGTCAATTTTGGCCATCGAAACTGGCCAGGCGAACTGGTTGAGCAGACCGGCCGCGTTGACGGCGAGCGACGAGAACGCCATACCCTTTGCGCGCATCTCGAAAGAGAGGACCTCGACGGGGTAAAGAGCCTGGAGGGGCGTGATGCCGAACGAAAAGACGGATCCGAAGATGAAGACCATGGCGAGGGCGGCCTTCGAGGCGGCCTCGTTGGTGTACTTGGGTTCGCCGTCTTCGTCGAAGCCATCCTGGGACTTCGCAAACATGGCCGAAGCGACCGTCATGCCGAGCCAGATGACGCTGCAGCCAGCGAACGAGAAGAGGAGGAGGGGACGACGGCCGATCCTGTCGACGAGCGTGGCACCGACGATGGCGCAGAGGAACTGCTGGCAAGAGTTGATGAGCGTAATGTTGGCCTGCTCAAACACACCCGTGTAGCCGGCGGTATCGAGGACCGACGAAAGGAAGTACGAAAGCACCGCGTTGCCGGCCCACTGACCAAAGATGGAAATAGTGACGTTGCACATGAGGCGGTAGACGGCGGCGCGCGAGCGGAAGAGCGCACGGTAATCCCACCAGCGCTTGTCGGAACCGTCGAGGTCAAGAGCTTCGTCGTACTCACGCATCTGGAGTTTTACCCAAGCAGATTCAGGGTTCCCGTTACCATGGTACTTGGTGAGCATTTGCTTGGCCTGCTCCTGCTTGTTGTTGACGTAGAGCCAACGGGGCGACTCGGGAAGGAGGAGCGAGAAAACGACGATGATACCCGAGAAGAGGGCCTGGAGCCAGGTGATGAGGCGCCACGAGAAAGGGAAGGAGACGTCCAGAGAGCCACGGGTCGCTCCAGAAGCGATGATGGAACCGGAGAACCAAAGCGTGTTGTAGAAGGCACCGACGACACCGCGATAGGCGGGATGGTTGATCTCAATAACGTACATTGGTCCAGCCGCGGCTGCGATGGAAACTCCGAAACCGAGGAGGAAACGACCGCCGAGGAAAGCGCTGGGGTATTGCGCCGCACCCTGGACGATGGTACCAACAACGACGGTCAAGGCACCAATAAACATGCCAACCCGTCGGCCCCAAGTGTCGATAGCGGGGCCGACGAAGGGGAGAGCAACAACACCACCGATCTGGTACATGGCAGCGAAGATACCGGCACGAACACCGTCATTTTCGACCTGGTACCGATCGCGGAAGTCGGGGTTCTGGAGAAGGTTGTTGATGAGGGAGCCGTCATAGCCATTCATCGTCGAGCAGAACATGCCAATAATGGAGCAGGCATAGATGAGCAGCATGCTCTTGCTGAAGGGTGTGGGCGGCTCCAGAAGCAGCGCCTCGTTGAAAACCTCATTACCAGTGATGATCTTCTCTCGGAGATGTTCCTTCTACAGTTGGGCAATTCCGCGTTAGTCAATGTCAATTTTGCTTCCGGCATTGTTTCAAATGATGGGGGAAAAGAGTCCATTCATAAAAGCATGCTCAGAACTGCTTAGAGTTGATGGAAGCTCCCGTCCCATGTGATGTCACCGGTAACCATCCAGAGAAAGAAAACCAAGCTCGTACCTCGTTGACGATGTCCGCGTGGACGACGTCATCTTTCTCGAGCTTGTCAACCATCGTGACTACTTATACCTCTCGGCTCAGAAACGAAAAGGGCTTATTTCGAGCAGCAACGGAGGAAGAGTGGAAAGTTGGGGGAAGTCGGGTTCAAAAAAAGAGACTCGAGGCTCAATGTCCAAACCCGGTGTATCAAGTCCTATAAGTGAGAAGGGGGGGAAGGGGAAGGGAAGGGAAGGGGGTATAATGGAAATGGATGAAGGGAAAAGAAAGAAGAGAAAGGCTTGGATGATCAATATGTGACATGAAAAGAGTCGGGGAGAAGTGCGATCTTATCAAGTACGGCGTCCGTAGCTCATGCTCTTAACCGTCAAGCTTTTTTTGCCTGCGAGGAAGATGAGCTCAGGAAGCATATCACTCTGATTCCGATGAACCCCTTGCCATGAATGGGGTGTTGCAGCACTAGAGAGTATGGGGTGGCATGGGGAAGGGTGGTAACAAAGGAAGGTCGGGGAGGGTGTGTGTGGAAGAGAGGGGGTGAAGAGGGTGTAAGTGCGGGTCCTTCAATATGGGAGCGGCATGGTCCTCTGTGGACGGCTATGGGTGTCAAAAAATACAAAATACGAGACAACGTGAGGATAAATTTCGATGCCAGGAAGAAATGAAAAACTGGCGCCGAAACGGGTTCCAGTTTGGGTTTGAGCAATTGAGACGACAGGGACCGGACAGTGAAGGGCAAGATACCCCGCGCTCATCGGCCGCCGCAAGGAAGTTGGACGGCGGCCCAGCGGTTGTTTGCACCGACAGGATTGCCACCTTTAATCCGTTAAACTAGAACGGACGGCGGCCGTATGTGATGGGTCTGGTTTTGTTTAAACCCCCCCTTCACAGCAACGGGCCGATCGATCTCTGCAGGGAGTAGGGGCTCTTCGAGACCATATGTCATGTTTCCCAGGTCTGGCGGACGTGTTATCCTAACGCCGATGGCCACGATGGTTTCAAGATGGGAGCTCGGGTTGCGGACGGCAGTGGAAGTGGAGAGCAAAGCTGGGGGAGTTGAGAGTTGGAGTGAAAGGTATTAGAGACTATGTTGGCAATAAGTCACCCATGCTGATGGGCCTTATTGCCATTGCGGCATAACTGGGCTAGACGCTTCGCAGGATGGAGTAGCAACGCCTGATGTCGCCCTGGAGGTCCCACTTAGACGAGATTTGAGCTCCTCCACATTCATCACGGGAAGCGGAGCGTCGGGCGAGTGTTCCCCAATCCCATGCTCCATCATTAGCTCTGGCGGCGGTCCTAAATCGAACTGGCATCTAGGATTGCAACGTTGACCGTTTTCACAAGACGGCACTGGCCGCATTGAAGACTCAAGATGCATGCTCACAGGCATGGAAGTCCCGAAGACCAAGGACATGAAAAATTCCCAGGCCGATTGAACCCGTATTGCAGGCTCAATCTACCCATCCCGGTAAGGGTTCGTGGCCGAACAGCGGTTGGAGGACCTCCATCCGGAAAGGTTAACTCTGGCATCGGTGGTGTTGGACCGTGTGAGAAACTGGGGGACCATGTGCGACTCTCTCCCATGCACAGATTCTGCTGTGGAAGAGATTGCCTAATGGGGTCAATGGCCGGTGCCAAGAATGGCATGGTCAAACAATTGGGCACCCGGCAAGGCGGGTGAAGAGCCTCCGGAGGATGGTGTTTTGGGGTTTGATAGGCGATCATTGGTGTGAGACACAAGAAATATCAGCCAAGGAACGGGATTCCTCGAAAGCATGAACGGCCGTCGATTCTTTGGTTCCAGGAGTATTGCATTTGATGGTTCAATTGAGCAAGACAGGGCAGAGGTCAGGTGGAGGATTTCTTCAGATGCTCGCCATGAGCCAACAATTGAACGTTTTAAGGTGAGTTAAGGTGAGTTAAGGTGAGTTACATCGCCGAAGCTGCAGCTCGTCAAGGTTGCTCCGAGTGGATCCCGACTTCTGTTGTTGCCCGTCTAGACCCAATAAACACTGCATCGAGGAGGTGCGATTCGCAACCAGCGAGCTCCAGGTCAGGTACCTCGATGCGATTGGTTTAGTGTGAGCAAGAACCCAGGCCGGGGCTAAAGTACAGAAGTCGCGAAGAACGAATCAAACTAAGGACGAGTCCTGGAGGAATACGCCATCTGTCGCGTCCGTGGAGGTCTTCCGGGTCAAGATGAAGCGCCTTCCATTATGTAAATTCGGCCTTTCTCGCGGGGAAAAGGGACATAAACTGGTGTCGGTGACAGATCAATTGATTGACCCCAGAGAATCTGCAGGTTGATTCAGTAATCAAGGGTTGCAAAGGCGTCAATATTGCGGCACTAAACCAATCCCACACTCTGTATCTCAGTATCTAGACCTGACTCTGCGGGGGAAGTGTCTCCCTCGTACTGCAGGGTGGTTTCCTTTTGTTGACTGTCAGCAAGGAAGGAATTGGTGGATCGAAGTGATGATACCGCGTTAACCACCACAGCAGCCTGGCTCCGAAGCAAGTACCTCGCATGCAAGCTTTGTAATAGCCTCAATTTCAGTTCGTCCCCTACTGACTAAGATGTGTGGGAAGGTGTGGCTCAATTAAAGATAATCCCGACATGTGAAGGCGAGATCAATCAATGGCAGGTGCGGTTGGTGGTCAATGGAACACATTGTTCCGCGCTGGACTGCAACTGTGCGTGTTAGCTTAAACACCGCCGTCCGGCCCGGCAGAGATTCCGACGCACCCCAGGACGACGTCGGGCATACAGTTGGATGGACCAACTCTTAGTAAATAACTCTTGGACAGGAGTGATACGCGAGGCGATTGGATTGGTTAGCCTGCCACTTCCGCCCGTCTTGTCTGCTGTGGGGAATGGACGAAAAACGCAAGGCTCATCGGAAGAGGGTTATGTTTTTGCCTAGCGTATGCAAGTTTAGGGCGATACGGCCTAGAATACCGAACATGGTCGTTGGTGTTAGTCCCCTTCGGGGATGCTATGGTCTCGCCTTTACTGTTCATCTACATACGATGAATGTGTAGCACGCGAGCGGAGACGGATTCCGTCAGATCTTGTTTCAGTAGCCCTGACCACTATTGCAGGTGCCCCCAGAGAGAACTGATCGATTGATGGAACAAGTCTCAGAAGCAGCAACATCATGAGGTGCGAATTGGCAAATTCACGCTTCGCATTACTCCCTCCCTCTCGACTACTCTCCGGTCCCAGTGGGATCTATGATCTGTGATCTGCCTGTTGTGTGACATCGCTAATGAACAAAGGAAGGGGTGTGCGTTGGTCGCTTTATACGCTAAAAGTAGATTAGCACCACTTCATATTCCTATTCAAGGGGGGCGGCTCTTCGGCCTCCGTCGCGCCGGGTGTGCTTCGCTTCTGGTGGCCCATGACGTATCGAGAGCGAATCTCGCCAAAACGGCTTGATACCCTCCCTTGAATGAAAAGAACGGCTCTCAATATTTCGTACACTGTTTCGTACGTGGCCACGAGGCAATAGGATACAGAGCACCTGGTCAGTCGAGCAACCCAACTGGACTTTAACCAGATTCTCTAGCGAGCCCTACTAACAATGACGGGATGGAACAAGGCCCTTGATGGGGTATTGCGGCACCAGAAACGCCGGGTGTACATTTGGCCAGATGCATCAGCGACCTGCTTCACCTCTTCGTCGCCTGGGCTCGGCGATCGGGTTTGAGCAGAAGGGGTAATCGGGCTTCACTGGCCTTGTGCTCGATCTTTGACTCTCCCAGCTAATGATCCTGACTCTACACAGGTATTTTCCTGCGAAGCGGTCCCTAGAGATTTGAAAGCTTTGCATTCCCCAGGCAAGCTAAAATAGGTACAAACCTTACGAGGCAATCATGGGCATATTACCGCTGATCTTGGCCCGACCCGTTGGAATGGGAGGTACGGACGGACGCGAATAAACAACCTTTTAGAGTAGATATTTCAGCGCTTTCTAATTGCTAGTGTAAACTGTAGAGCCACTGATGTCGACGAAGGAGGGCCCCGTCAGATCGAAAACAGCTCAGCTACGTACGAAGGGGCAATTGTTCATTGGGATACATCGGAGACTGGATGCTAAGCATCAACATGCCAAAGCTGCATATAAATTCCATCCCAATCATCACCCAACTGATGTCTTTGCAGGACTCTGCCCAAGCTGAAAAGGCGAATGGAAATTTTTATTTTGTTGTCTACCCAGAGCCTTGGATCAGCAAGCGTTCTCGACGGAACATAGGCCCGGCCAAGCTCCCGCCTGAGCCTTAGTTGCACAGATTCTGACGCCACGCCGGCTCTCGTTCCTCGTCTTGCTCCACAATGATGTTGGCGTTCGGCGACTCGCACTCCTTCACGACCCCATATCAACGCCACGGATGTTGATAGCGTGCAACGCAACCAAGCGAAACAGGAAGTCAACAAAGAAATCGGCGAGACGAGTATTCTTCGGCTAGAATGAGCCAGGGACCTCTGCGTGCGAATCTCTAATCATCTAATCTGCTCCGTACTTACTTCGTGCAGGAGGAAAAGGTAGAGTTGCATCGACGATGGCGCCAGAGGAGCCTCCTCCCCATAATGGGTGCAACACTTGGTGACGCTTCCAAAAAATATGTAAGATTACCGAGAGGACTCACGCACCGAAGACTCTGGTTGATGGGATATTTTTCCATCTCAATTAGGCCTACGCTATGTCGACGGTGAATCTGGGGTATCGGCTTCTCCTACTGGCGCTATGAAGGACTCGAGCCCTCCAATGTACGTTCAGCAACAGGGGTCAGGGCATTTGAAATTGTTTATCTTAACATCTCCCAGGTAAGCTCCTGCATGCTTCGTTTGACTGGACGGAACAGAGAGTCAAGCCAAGACGTGGTACCGGTGTGACTTCGATCGCTCGATAAGATCATTTGATCTCGGCTTTGAGCCCTCGATCCCAATGGAATACGATCCTTGTTCCACCTGCAGGAGGATTTATTGTTGCGACTGTTCCGACTGCGGTTTGAACATTCTAATATCTTCCTTTCTAGACTCGGAAAGCTTGCTGTTTCGTCCCCAGCACAGAACCAGAAGATCACTTGTCTGATAAGCTGGGCTGAGATCACCGACAGCTGTCACGAGGAGAGCCGAAAGTCTGGAAGTATTTGTCGCAGGAATGACACATTCTATTGACCCGGGCTGAATTACAGTTGCGGGCTTGGGAAATTCTGATTCCATCTCTGCTGTTGGAAAGTGATGAGCCACATTTCCTACTCAGCACATGGGCCCTCGCTGCTGAGTGATGTTGACATTCTCACATTTGGTATTCTTGGGCGAGGCTTGGAACTGTGAGGCTTGGGTCTGTGAGAGATCTCAGTTGCTTAATCTGGGATTGATGATTTGTCATGCCCCACTCAACAATGCACATCATCGTGCCCCTCAGGAACGTCATCACCGAAAGGCCCGGCATCGCAAAAAACATTTAAACAAGACCTACCTAGCTCATCGCAATTCAAACGATTGATTCCCACTAAGCTCTGATCTCAATTCCATCGCAGCACCAGAAGAGAACTTTCATAAACGAAATTAAATCCTAATTGATGACCTCTCTCTTCGCCCGCATCTTTCGCCCCTTCACGACCAGTACCATGGCAGCAACTCCGGCCGTTATCCCGGAAGGCGCCGAGGTCGCCACACTCGCCGCCGGCTGCTTCTGGGGCGTCGAGCACCTTTACGTGAAGAACTTCGGCCACGGCAAGGGCCTGCTTGATACCCGAGTCGGCTACATCGGCGGCGCGACTGATAGTCCTACGTATAAGATTGTGTGCTCCGGCGCAACAGGGCGTAAGTAGAACAAATGCAGCCATTTGATGCACGTCGCTAACGTTTAAATAGACGCCGAAGCAACCCAGCTTATCTTCGATCCCAAGATCGTATCCTACCGCGACCTTCTCCTCTTCTTCTACCGCATGCACGACCCCACGCAACTGAACCGCCAAGGCCCAGACGTGGGCACCCAGTATCGCAGCGCCATTTTCTACAATAGCCCCGAGCAGGAGGCCATCGCGAGGGAGGTGACGGAGGCGGTGGGGAAGAAGTGGTGGACGGGTGGGAAGATTGCGACGGAGATTGTAAAGGCTGGGAGGTGGTATGATGCCGAGGAGTATCATCAGCTGTATTTGGATAGGAACCCCGGAGGGTATGAGTGTCCGAGTCACTTTGTGAGGGACTTCCCGCCGCTGTAGTGTGAGGCGGGGAAGTTTCTGGCGAGTACAGGGAATGGGCGACGAGTTTGGGATGGAAACGAATTGTCTACGATAGCAAACATAATGTGCATATCACAAACCTAATTTTTGTTCGGGAAAATAGAACTACTCGAAAGCATACTTGGTGTTTGATGATTTCTTTATTTACAATAAGAAAGGTCTATCAAGGAGCGCTATCTGATAGGAGAATGCTCCGAGGACGGGGCAGTAGCTATGCCGGAGAGGAGATATTAAAACACTGGAGGGATTTGAGACGCCTTCCATAACACCAAAAATCTAAACAGCTCCTCCCTATTATCCGCCCGCAATCCCACATCCGCGACGTCGTAGAGGATCTTGTTCTTTTCTTCGCTTTTTTTTTTCTTCTTGTCTTGTTTTCTTCCGAACTCATCATCTTCGCCACCAGCCCATTTACCTCCTGTTCCTGTTGCCCTGCATCATGAGGATCTGAACCATGCGGACAAAGATGTTGAGGAAGTCAAGCTCGAGTGCGATGCTCTCGTTAACGGGATCCTCCTTGATGATACCACGCTGGGCAAGCCTGGCATGATGCATAATCTTCTGCACGTCGTAGAGGGTGAAACCGCCGAAGAGAGCGAGACCACCGTAGAGCCAGATGCTCTCGGAGAACGCGAGCGCGCGGTAGGCGGTGGCGGGGATGATCAAGGGAGCGAGACCAGAGGCGGCTACGACGCAGGCGCCGGCGAGGAGGGGACCGCCGATGTAGAGGTACTTGTCTTGCTTAGCGGTCGCTCCGACAATGGAAAGACCACCCATCATGGCGACGGTGTAGAGACCTGCGCGGGCGATGAGGGCTCCGGGGGCGTAGACGAGGAGGGGGGCGATGAAGGCGGCTTGGGTGGCGTTGAAAGCGGTCCAGAGGGCGTACTTGGGGATGTAGCTATTTTTCCATACCTGTTAGCACCACTTAAAAAAATATTTCATCAAGAAACTAATGATAGATTGAAGGGGTTATAAACTCACTTGTCAGGATCAATAGCCCTCGTTCCAATCATGGTACCGAAGCTGAGAGCGAGGCCACCGATGGCGACAATCCAAGGGTTGGTAACCATAATCCTGTAGACAAAACCAGAATTGACCATCTGCCGCGCCGTCAAGCCGATGATGCCGACACCAAGACCGGTGTGAAGGAAGGTGTTGTTGAGATATTCCCTCTCAAACTTAGGCATGGCGCCCTCGCGGGTTTCCCGGTTGAAGACGACATTGATGGCAAGGAGAGTGCCACCAAAGATGGAACCGCCGATCAAGAGCTTGCGCAGAGCACTACCCTGACCTTGCTGCTGATATGTCGTCTGCGAACCCTGCATGTAGGTCCTCGCGCCATCGCGCGCGCGCGCGAACGAGCTTCGGATCACGAGGTTCGAGGAAAGGCTGTTGCTGGCGGCCCGCGGCGCCCGCGAGGTGAAGAAGGTCTGGGTCTTGGGAGTGCTGTGGAAGGCCCGGATGGGCAGTGTGGAGGAGCATTTTGTCAGGCGGGGGAGCGTCCGCGCCACGTTGGCGGTGCCCTGACGGATAGGGCCGAGGAGAGTCATTTCGATAGTCGACTTGATATTGCTTGCGAGGGAAAGTCGATTGTTTGATGATTGGGGTGGAGGAAGAAGGGGTAAAAGAGGGGTGAGTTGGTTTTATGGGATCGGAAGAAGACGTCGTGAAGATCTTGGTGACGTCTTTGAAGCCTGGGATGCTCGGCAGCTAGAATGTTTAGTAATGTCTCAATCACGTGTGGAAGCTCCTGGAAGCTCCGAGAGAAGTGAACTACAGCTGTCAACAGCTGCCAATAGCTGCCATCCGGAGTATTACTCGGTGTTAGAGACAGCATCGCACCTAACTCCGCTTGTTCTCGGGAGCATCGTGGAAACACTGGGGAATCAGGCGTCTTCATTACGCACATGGATCTATTGAACAATGTCTCTGGTCACTAGTCATCGTTGTTTCAATGCTCACATAAGCGCTCCCGCCGCTCCGTGAGTCAGAGCTTAGCTTTCACAGCAGCGGCTGTTCCCGGGATTGAGTGAGGAGCTTCTTTTGTCAGATTGGTGGATCGAAGACTCGAACGGCGACACTTTGTTACAATTCGTCCAATAAGAGGGAAACCCAACTGACAGGAGCCAGCAAAGCAAATATTACCTCGGTAGATACCGAGGATTCTTCAAGATACATACCAGTAGCCAACGGAAAGTTTATGTTGGATTCTCCGGGTGCAACCATCTCGGGGTGGGAGTATGCACGAGAGCCACAGCGCTTAAAAGAACAACAATCCATGAAATCCACCTCTCAAAAGGCGCCGGCCATGATTTGGAGCTAGCAACTCCTACACCGTCCCTCCACCCCGTGTCAGGTCATCCTATCCATCGTCAGAGGCACTAGCACCTACTTAGGGAAGGAGTCGACGATGGGGATTGATTTCTGGCCGTTCGTCGTCGCTTGTGGGAGGACCTCGTTCCCTGGAATAGCAGTCAGAGAGATCCACAGCTGGTCGTGTACGCACTTGCTGCGCAGGAATCGGGATTTTGGGGACCAAGCGCCTTCTGGTCTTAATCAATTCATGGGCTCCTTGGGGGATCAAAGGAACGGCTCAGGAAAGGTAACAAAAATGAAGCGTTTTTTCAGAAGAATTAACCATCTGACTTCCATGCATGATCGACACCGTCTCACCGACGAGCCAGATCTTCGAGAGGAAGGTCGCAGAGAACAATAACACTGTGTCATTCATTCCCAATAAAACAGAAACCATTAAAGGACCGTCCGCATATTATACGGCCCTATCAAGTGTGGTACGCCAAATATATTTATATTGGGGCCTGGGTGCGTTTCCCACATCCAATGGACAGACATGGTGCAGGCCTGCATTTAGGCTCTATGGGTGCGGAGAATCCTGGGACGCAGCAATGGAGACATTGAAGCGACCAACTTTCCCGACCCGCCTTCCGAACCCTGCCATACAGTAGTGCTCTGTGAGATCGCCGTGTTGACCGGAGAAAGTCTATTGCTGACCACTCTGATCGAATAGATTGAGGGGCGGCATTGGGTCCGGAATGAGGGGAAACTACCGGGCAGCCTGAGTTCGTGGAGTAGAGTGGTATAAAGTAGCTGAGCTCCCCAGGTAAGGGGAAGCTCTCGCTTTCGGCCGTTGTCAATAGAAAAGCATTTCAGCTCATTTTCACCCTCAGACTTACGCGTTCGTGATCTCTCTCTCTCTCTCTCTCTTTTTTTTCCATCTCGTCGTAGTTTGCTGTGCAAACGATACTTCCAATTCTTGAGAGCCGAATCGTAAAACTAGCAGAGGGTGCGGAACCTATACAATATTGAACGATTCCGTTCTTTAGCAGTTTAGTTTCTGAGATATTCGGTCTCAGACGTCCTCAGCTGCCGCTCCGTATCGGGATCCGCCAACCCACTTACATGCCAGATCGCTCAATCGCAACGACAGCATGAGGATATCAACAAGTCTCGCCATTCAAGTGGCCGCAAGCGCCCTCCTCGTCTCCTCTCTATCGGTTCCTACCACCAACGGCTATCTCTCCCTCTCAGAGACCAGAGCAAGGGCTATAGCGAAATCACAGTCACCATTTACCCTGCCTCATTCTACACCAGACACGACAATCGAAGAAATCGAGCCAAGCTCCTTATCTCTCATCATAAGGAGCCTGAGGGACTTTATGCATACGCTTGGTGTCGTCACGGAAAAGCGGCCGGCGCTGTTGTGTTATTGTGGTTCTGGAGTTGTTTGCTGTGATTATCCCGAGGGAGCTGCTTGCGGATATGGAATATGCAGTATTTAAAAACGGAGTACAGGCTCGAAGAGCAGCCTTTACAAAGGGAGCAGACTATTTGTGTCCCCGAGGGATGGGTCTGCATTACAGAGTAGGGACATGGTTAAGCATGGGATGGCGTTCTTGTGTTGGTTCATTGTTGCATTGGGATGGGGCCAGTTGGTATCTGGATTCAAGGAGTCGGCGTTGGGTTATTCATTTTCAAAATCGACGGAGCAGGCAGTCAAAGCGCGTGTGAAGAGACCTGGAGTCAAAAAGGCCTCTAGCTAACAAGAGAATTCAATAACACGAACGCTAAAATGTCCAAAGGCGTCCACATTGAGGGTATCTGCAGGAGGCGGGCCTCAATGATGATCACAACTTACACTCATGCCCACCAGATCCAGATTGGGAAGTTGGTGAGATAAGTGTTCAGCTTCGACCCGAGGTCGTCTCGAAGGTTCACGTTGCATTTGATCCCAGTTTAGAGGACGAGTGTATCAACCAAGCTAAGCAGCAACATCCTGTTTCTAGAAGGTCTCCTCTTGAAGCGATGCCGTATGATGTCTTACCTTTCGAATGACAGGTTTGAGCGCTCTCGACTGGACTTCCGTTTCCGCTGGTCTATCGCCCGAAAATGAGAAGGGCCTTTCCGACGTTTGACGATGGAGCCAGCACTCCTACGCCCTGGAGTATCGTCGTTTTTCGATTCCCTCGACATCTCTAAAGCAGAGTCCCTCAGCGAACTCGTGGCAGTGTGCCCGTCTCTTCTTTGCCGAGCGACACTCGGCCGATTTCGCATGCCTGGGCCGACCAGTCGAGACACTCCTGCTGCGTACAAATGATTATTAAGGTTGGATTCCCGACCCCAGGATGCTCGGGTTTCGCCGCGGCGATTGGGGCATGTTTCGAAAGTTACAAGGGTGGGCTGAAACAAATCTCCTAGGGCTGGGGGCACAGTGAGGGAAGCCTCCTTGAACGACGCAAAATACAGGCATTATTTCAGAAGGCAAAAAAAAGAGGCTCTCAACAATCCACTGAAAAACAAGTACTGGAACTGTTGTAGGGATTGGATGGATGGGAAGAATAAGGGTCCCGAACAACGCCTTGAGCTTTGGCCAACCAGCCAACCACAGAGTCAAGGACCAAAGCATGAACACTAGCGTTGCGGACAGATAAGAGTCAGATGGATGGCTTCTGACACTTGGCGCTGCCATTGTCCATTGTGCTGGATCTCAACGCCACCGACATTCCAATGCCGTGGTGGCGCTTCTGATGGATGTAACAATGTGCTGTACTTCGTGCGTGTTGTGTCTTGTTGGAGCAGAGGGGACCTTGGTGGATCCAGCACCTGTTCGCGGAGAGGGGTGCTCCCGGTCTTGGGGATGCAGCGTGCTCGATGTGCTGCGTGGACATCGAACGCTCTGGGGACGAATGGAGTGCAGTGCAGAGAACAGGCAGGACCAGTAGTAAAATGGCAGGGGCGCGAGGACAAAGCGGTCTGAATGAAGGCCAGCTTGCCCTATCAATCTACCAATCCGACTGCTCGAAGCCCATTTCGCCAGCGTGTCGGGAGAAGAGCTCGAGAGCGTTTCCAGCTCAAAATGTAGGAAACAACAGCAGGTAGGAATATTCGTTTTGAATATTGGTGGGACAGAACCTTGCAGGGTCTTGGGCCGTCCCAAGCGGAATCAATGAAATCAATGGATCCAACGCTCCGGCGCTTATAATTGATGCGTGCTTTTGTCCCTTGCTTCGCTTGGTTACTTCTTTGCTTTGTGAGGTCGTAGGGCATTCATGTTGATGTTGATGCCAGAGGTCAAGCAAGGTTCAACTCCAAGTTAGAAGTACCGCCTGAAGGTACTGGACTAGGTGATGGAACTGATGAGATGACCTCAATGCTGGAGATAAACAACATTAGGACTTGATAATCCGCATTATCGACGCATGCTTCTATGTACCTAAAAAGTACTCTTTATCTCGACAAGCTCGGACCACATCCTCCCCACTTGCTCGGAGTACCTCAGGTACTTGAACCCAACAGCAACACCACCAGGAAGTTGCATCCAAGAGACAGCAACAGCGCAGGATCTCGATCTGCGTATCTCGTTCAGGTTCGGCACCCCACCAAAATAGCTTTGAGCGCGGCTGGACCAGACGAGATCGTCCTGACTGGCCACCCTCTCCAGTTCAGTTTGTTCATCGAACGTCCCGGGTCCCTTTACCATCTCAACTTTCAACCACTGCCCCTCGTGGAGAACACCGCAGCCCAAACCCGACCCGGCCCCTTACGTCTCCGATCTCTGCGATTCCCCCACTGCCGACGAACGACGAACATTGTTCATTGATTCTATTTTTTTTTTCCCTCTTCCTTTTGCTTCCTTCTCTGTCGCGGCTCCACGACCACGGTTTAGCTACTCGACTACCAGACCCTTTCAAAGATCGATGAGAAAAGAGATTATGCTACGAAGCTTCAGCCCTTGAAGATCACCGCCTGAGTATACCCGCTTTCTTGCACCTGCTCCCGTGACACCGTCGATAACCACGACCCACGACCTCTCTTGGCCCACAATCTGCGTTGTTCTGTTTGCTTTTCCTCCCGGCGCTGAACCGGCCTGCACAAACTTGACGTACCGTCTTCCTCTTTCTCACACTCTTGTCCACCTCGGACGCAAACTGGCTCCGCGCTTCTGCTTGACGTCCTGGTCCGTGCCAATCAGCTTAGGGCTCTTTTGGCCCCCAGCTTGTCCAAAGCTGACTGCGCGAGCCGCAGCTGCCTC